GATATTATATGACTTATAGTAATCTGGTTGGTGGTTTGGAACATTTTTTATTTCCGATAATATATGGGAATAATACTCCCAACTGACTTTCATATTTTTCAAGATGGTTGAAACCACCAACCAGTAATGATTATCATGAGTTCTAAGCAACTTTATCGGAGTTTATTGTCTGACAATGGGGATGGCATACCCTCCATCTATGGCCATGCAGAGAGAGGGATAGGAACATCTTTGCCACTAGAGATTTTGGTGCACCCTATCCTCAAACCAATGTGGTGAACCCAAAAGTGTCGTGCTCAGAGCCGAGCCCCGGACATGGTGGAAGAAGGTGCAGGTAGCAGGATTGGATGGCCATTTTTTTGTTGGGTACGATTGGAAATGACACAACGATTCCAAAATGGGGTATGAAAGTAGGAAACATGTGCCCTTCAAAAGACTCCAGGATTATTCGGCTTGGTGAACATCAGTGTAGCTGGGGGCAGCTAGTACCCCTTCCTTGCTCCGTCGTTGTCATTCGTAAATATGCACAGTATTGCCGGCTGAATGCCATGTGGAAGGTATTCACGAAAGTCACATGCATGTACTTGAAAGCGTTTCTTAATATGTGGTTTCTTCGACTGCCATGTTTGCCTGATGCTTAAGCTTCTTTAGGGCCCGATTTGAAATCCCGAACCATAATGCCAGGAACCTCAATGATCCTGAGTTCGCAGTTTTTTGATTAAATGCTTGGATTACCCTCTGATAAGCTAATATAAACTATAATATAGCTGTGGAACATCACCATGTTTTATATTTTTTAATAGATAAATCAAGTCCAAATGATCATTTTCCAGTTCAGTATATTGGTTTACCAGAGGGTACCCATCCAACGTTTCTGTGTCACGTGGCAGGCGACCATCCGAGTGGCTGGGCGCTTTCGGAACTTGGGCCTCTTCCATTCGCCCGAAGAGGTGGCCGAGTGGCTGATCTGAACGTTGTGCCCGGGTTGTGCTCGAAAATCCACAATTCAATGGATTGGTTTAAGGGAATCTGGAGGAAACCATCGTTTTTCCCATGAAGATCATTGGGCTTTCCTGTATTTTTTCCCTTCAACCAATCCAGTATAATCCATTGATCAATATTCGACAATTGAATGGAGTGATTTGGATGGAATGATGGAATGATCATTCTATAAATCGGGGTAACAATACACTTAAAAACCCTCGAAACATCTCGAAACTGGTTATGTATGTTTATGGTTATTTAGATGGAATTTGCATTCCCTCAGTCGGGCTATCCCGGACTTATGACTGGTAAAGGGCCAGAACGGTATGATGATGCTTGCATATCAACGACAAGATGTGGAACGATCATTAAATCTCTCAGGAATCTATAAGGACATAGTAAGTCTGTGGAACCAAGTATGTGAGTCGCAAGCTTAAGTCTGGTCCGTGCTTGACAAATAGAAAAGATAGCTGGGAGGATCAAGCGTCATCAGGATTATTGGCGCCTCAGTTCGTTGGCGAAGTTGGTGCCTAACTCCAATCATTACGCTTCATGGCAGATATTATATATATACTGTATATCCATGGCAGATGATAATATATATATATGTTCATGGCAGATAATATATATATATATATTTATGTCCACATAGTATTTGATAGTTAATGTTGGTCATATTTCAAGAAACATACTGAGTTACTGGGCACCACTTAAAAGGCGATCGCCTCCAGAGTCCCCCATCCGGAGGCTCACCAAAGATATCTTGCCGCAAAGCAGGACCGGAGAAAACTTGGCGATGGTGGTTGACCATGGTTGACCTAGAAATCCCATGGCTTTCCGTTGTGCCTTCCATGTTGAAGCACACGAGTTTTCTATGATTGTTTCTGGTAAAGTAACACTTCGACCCTGCCATGTTTTTTTTGGTTGGAAGATGAGTTACCGAAAATCGATGATGAACTGAGTCTGTTGAGGGTCGAACTGCGAATTGACCAGGTGAATTCCCATGGAATTTCCCAGGCGAAACCCCCATTGAAAAAGGCACCAGTTTCCCAGGATTTGCCTAGGATTTTCCCAGGATTTTAAAAGATGGTGGCTGTCAGCGATCTTGCAGCATGCGCCTGGTGTTATGCTTTCATCATCTTTCATGTGTATTATATGTATATAACATATTACATATATATATATATATATATATTTGTTTAAAACATATTATATATATATATATTATATTTAAAATATATAGTTGATATAGTGTGTTATCTTCCCTGTAGCCCCAAGATATCCCAGGATGCCCCAAGAACTTTGAAACAAAATCTGCAAACTTTTCTGAAACACCAGGAGTTGGGCCAGTGAAGCTGCCTCTGTGAGGATCCCTAGAAGCCCGTGGATTCGCAAACAAAATCTGGAAAGCCATGGGTTTTGAATACCCTCTGGTAAACTAACATACAATGTGAGGCCCCCCCCAGTGATGTTTGTTGGTTTAGATTCGCCCCAGAAACTATAGTTATTTACGTACCATAAACCATAGTTATTGGAGATATAAACCAACTGAACGCTATCTTGGGGGCCTCACATTGTAGCTATTGAAAATGGCCATAGAAATAGTGGATTTACCCATTAATAGCACGGTGATTTTCCATAGTTTTGTTGTTAACGTTACCAGAGGGTACCATTTTTTAGGGGCTTTCCGGATTTCCTAAACCATTGTTTTTTTTTTTTCGATGGCTCAAAGTTGTACACCACCAGAACTTGACATTTGGATTCTTTTAAATTTTGGAGCTGCTCTTCGTTGAGCATCACCAAAGGTTTGTCCGAAAAAGGGGTGCGCAAAAATGCAAGTTCAATGGGAAACACCAATCTATTTCTATAGTATATATCTATACATTAATATATATATATATATATAATAGTTTTAATATTACGTTTATGTATGTATATACAGTACATATTTAATTTATATGGGAATGAGTTCTTCGGAATCATAGGACTATACATCATTAATTCCCATCAAAATCTACTCTAATCTAGCACGATGTATCATGGAATTCTCATTCATCATCATGCAGGATGGCCCCCCCCCAGTGATAAGTTAGTTTATAAACCATTATAATTAACCCCCATGAATACTAGTTCGTTATATCAAACATAAACCATAGAATTCAGCCACTTTTTTCAGGCAACTTAGCTACGCTATCGACTGGGATGGATTCTTCAAGTCCTACAAGATCGATCTCATACCATCAAGGATGCGTTGCTTTTGAAAAGGTCAAAATTATAAGTGGAGCATTAATGAGTTTCTATAGTTAATCTAGGATTAATGATGGTTAATGATGGTTAATAGTGGGATTAATAATGGGATTAATAATGGGATTACTGGTTGGTGATTACTAATCACAATTAGTAGGGCTTATCAACCACATTATTAGCAATTACAAACCAATCTTAGTCCAATATAGAATCCATTAACCATTATTAACCATTATTAATCCCTGGTTGGTGGTGACTAGAACTAATATGGAATTTTGAATGACTTTCCCATCATATTGGGAATTTCATCATCCCAACTGACGAACTCATATTGTTCAGAGGGGTAGGTATACCACCAACCAGTAATGATCTATCAAACTATATAGTATGATATAGTTAATGAGTTCATATTTCACTGTAGAGAATGATGCTAACTATCAATGATGCATATCCAACTAGTCAATGATGTTTCCAACTGATTATATAATGGGTTTATACCTATGAATAATGACACTATAATGCATATTTCACTGTTGAATTTATGGTTTCTGCTAGATATATTGAACTGAACAAGTGTTTTTTTTTTGTGGCTTTCGAAAGCAACAGAACTGGCGGGCACCACCTTGCCGTGTCAAGGTAACCATGAGGGGCACCGGCGTGTCGTTTCGCAGCCTTTTTTTTTTTGTTTTTCAATGGCTTACCATAGGTTTATCATTTGAAGCAGCTTTCCATAAATGGGGGTACCCTCTGGCAAACTAACAGTTTGCTAGTGAAAATTGCCATTTATAGTTGATTTACCCATTAAACATGGTCATTTTCCAGTTCGTTATTTATACGTTTACCAGAGGGTACCCCAAAATGCTAGGTTTATTTGATTTATTTCATGGAAAATCCATTGAAAATCCTGTGACTTCATGGATGATTGGGTAGCCCTACAGGATCCAACACCATATATCTAGTGATTCATGGGATTTAACCACCAACTATCGGGGTGTAATAGGATTTACAGTTCGCTATATGGTGATGGCACACTGAAAATTAGTTGAAACTGTGGTTTTCAAGCTATGTTATATTACCAGACATTGCCAGAGGGTAGTGTGGCTTAGTCTTTGAACCATCAATGAGACAAGATATCAAATCCCACGGAACATCTTTAAGGAAGACACGTTTTCCATCAGTAAATACAGGTCTTTTAAAATAGATTTTCGACAGCAAACGGCAACCCAATGTGTAAAGTCACCCGACCCAGCCTGTACCGGCTCTGGAGCCCTAAGAGGCCTTTCCATGAGCTGTAGCCAATGCGCTGCGCTTTTCGCGGCAGAAAATGGGTGAACCGACTGTTCTGGTTGGTTTTCAAGCGTTGATTTCAAACATAAGAGGATTTGTTTTTCTTGAACATGTACAGCGAAACCTTTCATAAATCAGAAATCCTTTTATGTTCAGGAAAGAAGATGTTAGAGGTAGCGTATTGTTTTGGTTTGTTATAGTCAGAAACCAATAGGCTCGTGGCTTGTGATGGATTGACTCACATACTTTGATGTAGTGGAGATGTTGGCAGAAGTCCACCGCTCTAGCGGGTAACGTTACCAGTCTCATTTCCGAACGCGGAAACCAGCTCATTTTAGAACGCGGAAACTAGACTAGATTATTTTTGAACGCGTTTGTTGGTATAGTTTTTCCAAAGTTTCCTAGCCTCTCAGGCTTCCGATCCCCTTTCCTTGGTTTCCTGGTTTCCTCGTCTCCTTTCCTTTGTGTTCTGATTTCCTGGTTTTCTGGTTTCCACCTTTTCATTCTCCTGCACTTCATCTTCCACATTATGATCCTCATCACTGCATCATCACCACCATCATCAACACTGCATCATCATCCTCATCCTCCTCCACATCATCATCATCATCATCATCATCATCATCATCATCATCATCATCATCCTCCACATCATCATCATCATCATCATCATCATCATCACCATCATCATCATCATCATCATCATCATCCCATCCCCCACCCCATTATCACCATCACCGCCACCACCATCATCACCACCATCATCATCATCATCACCATCATCATCATCATCATCATTACCAGCATCATCCCACTCCCCCACATTTTTTGGGGCCTCTTGCGGGGACAATTTGGTTTCCTGGTCTCCTGGTTTCCTGGTTTCTGATTTCGCAGCGTCAGTCTTGGCTTCCTTTTTGTTCCCCAAACAGTGTGTCCACACTGAGGGGTTCTTACGGTAGATGTAAAGGCAGGTGCTTGATCAGGGTGCTCACTGGGCACCGGCATTTTTCCTGTAAAATTCCGTATAAAGTGGCTCTTGTGAAATGTTGACCTGCATTTCGACTGTGCAGGCTTGCTGGCTCACTCTTGGGCGCGGCATTTGTCCTAAAAAAAAGGTTAAAAGTGGCTCTTGTGAAATGTTGTCATGCATGTCGATTGCGCAGGCTTGCACCAAGTGTGTGTCTGCTTTCTGGGCTGACTCTGGGGCGCGTTTTTTTTAAATTTTGTTAATTGTAAATTTCTATATCAAGTGGCTCGTGCGAAAATGTTGAAATGCATTTCGGCTGGGCAGGCTTGCACAACGTGTGGTCCTATAGGTTGTTGGGGGCGGCATTTTTTCCTGTAGATTTCCGTAAGAATTGGCTCGTGTGAAATGTTGACATGCATTTCGATTGCGCAGGCTTGCACATAATGTGTGCCTGCGTTCTGGACTGACTCTGGAGCGCGGCAATTTTTCCTGTATAAAAGTGACTCTTGCGAAAAACGTCGAAGTGCATTTCGTCCGTCTTGCGAAATGTTGACGTGCATTTCGCCTGCGCAGGCTCGCACAAAGTGTGGTCCTAGGTTCTGGGCCGTAGCATTTCTCCTGTAAATTTCTGTATAAAGTGGCTCTTGCCGGTGTTTTGTTTCTCCGTGTGTTCAGAGATGATCCGGTTTTCGGGTTCTAAAGTGATCCTTCTACCATCCAGGGTGTCCCATTTAGTCGTATGCTTTACTCACTATATTACAAACGGTGATTTTCCACAGCGAACTGTTATATGAAATTGCCAGTGGGTATGTCATGTTGTTCCCATTAAATCCGAATCATACCCCGATTATATCCCAATTATACCACCGTTTTGGAAGTTATACCACCATTTTCTATGGTTATACCACAATGTTGATGGTTAAATTCATATTTTTGTTGATAGTTACGTCACCTATTTGCATAATTTTTCCCTGAGAAGCCTTCAATGTTGGGGTGGAGGGTCAGTCCTCTAATTCTTGGTTGGTACGGGGTTATCGTCGCCAATTTTTCTCGGTGCTGACAGTTTCACTTCGGACTCCTTGGGTTGAACCCCTTGTTGGTGACAGCCTTATTTTTGTTTGGTGTGTGTGTGTGTAAAGGTTGAATGTGCTGACTTAAAAAACTCCTTGTCCCAGAATTGGATGATGCAAAAACTTAGCTGATCCTCAAAAACAAGGATTTGCTGTAGATGTTTCCTTAAATTGACCCCATGACAGTCAAATTTGCGCAGGTCCTAGTCCATATTCATCTTGAGCTCCCCCGCAGGTAAGGCTCCACTGGAGCCATGAACCAATCCTTATCCGTTGAGAGGACGAGGACTGACATGGCGCAAACGAAGCCAGCCAAACTGGGACTGCCATACCTGCCAACCGCAAGGATAGAAGTGTTTAAAGATCACACAAAAAATAGTGGTAGGGGTGTGACTCAGTGACCCCCAAAATGATTTGTTTTTGGCAATCTATTGAACAGGGGAAAGGATGATTAAATGATTAACCATTGGATTGTGGGGTATCATAAGTTTCAGATAAACCATGTTGTGAAGTTGGTTTCCACCCGGTTTATGCTGCAGGAGAAGCGGGAATCTTCTGGGTGGAGTTGGACAACTGCAAAGTAAAGGGGCCCAGCACTAGCCATTGGTTGGTTCGCCAAGAGATCGATTACCCGCAGCCCCTGGATTTCTACATATTGGATGAATTAAAAGTAAAATATATGTGTGGGCCGCTCATTGTGTGTACTTTATTCTTGTGTATTTTATCCTATGTGCATTTATGTGCCATTCTGCAATACAATTGAGTTGATCTTATTATATATT